TCTAGTATAAGCATTACAGAAAAGACAGGCGTAAAAATCTGTAGGTATTCAGAACAAAATTTTGTCCCTAATATCAATGTTATTACTTGAAAAAACTTGATGAACTCGCCGGTTTTTACCGGTCTGGGAATACTTTTAGACCGGCCGGTGACTGGCCAGACCGGACTGGTCTAGTATTTCCAGACCGGTTACAACTCTGACGTATAGTACTATCATTTTTCTTCATATCATTATTGTAGTTGGTTTAAGCTTTAATCTTCACTCAGAACGAAGCCGAGAAGATGAATTTCCATTATATCATTCAGAAACTTAAACTATCAAAATACAAAGTCAGTTCTTGCAGGAAACTAGGATCGAATACCTGGACATGATGTTTGCAGACGAATTGCAATTACTTTTATTAATCAATTCTTTTCTGTATTTCAGTGTTGTGCATCGATAACATTTATGAATGAAAGAAATGGAATGGTATACGATATTAGTCATTATGATCATTGTTCTTACTGGGTTACTATTTTGCACGAAAATAAATCGTTATTAAATACTTTTTATTTAGAAAATTTTGGCGTTGTTTCGTTTTAGATGCCGATTGGATAGAAGATATACTTCTCTCGTTTTTTAATCAGTATTCTTACTTAAGTGAGGTAATGAGAGAATAATGCATCGAAAGCGAACCGGATACGTAAAAACCTAGAAACCTTTCGGTGGAGAAAATGATATAAGTTTGTCTTTTTCCGGGAAAAGAAAATTCTCCACGACATTGAACTATAAATGATGCGCTTCGCTCAATTGTTGGCGTCGCTCAAATGTCGATCGCTCAAGTGTCGGCGCTCAAACGTCGGTTAATCACTTAAAGCTCATGCATACGACAGGTAGCATATCATTATGCAATAGTGGATTATTTGGGTATAATATCGGTGTGAACTACTAAAGTATCTAGAGCATTAGTATAAGTTTATCACGCATATCTTCTTGACGCATAAAGCGTGGTTCTTCATAGTGCACAACAGTTTCTGTGTATATATCAGTTGTTTCTATTTCTTGTCATTTCCATGTTTTCGTGTGAAGTGATATTAATGGAAAGTGTATATGGTTTCTCAGTTTAGAATATCGTTTAACCAACAAATTTTCAACGTTTACATATTATAAAATGGAAATTAGTAGCAATTTGCTTTGTATCACCTTACTGCCTATCCCATCAGCCACATACACACAACACCATATCGAAAGTCGATGTGATGAAAAAAAATTTTCTTCGTACTGTTGTGAGTATTCAAGACGTTTTCTCAGCTCATTGTTTTTCTTCTATCGAATAATTTTTTGTACCTTATCAATATGTGATAAGACTTTTAGTTGCTATATAACAATGTAAATGCCCCTTACTTTATCTTAACCTTGTTGAAAAAAGACACACGATACATATCTCATCGATTTAGTGTACCTGTTAGTGTTAATAATCATCGTTATTAAAAAACAAACAATCTAAGCATCTGTACCTAATTATACCTGTTGTCTTCTATAATATTTTCATATATCATACCCATTTTTGACTACCAAACTTTGCGCTAACTTTTACGTTTTGCAAATTGAGAATAGTAATAATAATAATAATATAAAAAAAGAAAAAATAGTCGTACTACACAAAAAAGAAAAGCAAAACGTCGTTTTAATTAAAGTAAAGTGATGTTAATGTTCGATGAACTTTGGATGCTTGACCTATTATTTTGCGACTACTTTCCGAAAATAAATTTTGACTAATGTTAAGACTAGTCAAAGTTTTATTGATTTTTAACCCTTCAGCAACGGCGTTAGCTCCTCTATCTCCTATTTCATTTACATCCAGACAAAGGGTTGTCAAAACTTTGTTGACTTTCAACGCGTCTCCAATAGCCGCTGCTCCATCATCTGAAATTAGATTAGCACCAATATTAAGTGTAATTAAGCTTGTATTAACTCTTAAAGCATCGGCCAATGCCATTGTTCCCTTGTTTCCGATATGGTTTTTAAAAAAAGCAAGTGTTCTTAAAGAACAATTTGTTCGGAGTGCATCAGCAAAAGCTTGAGCTCCTTCTTCACCGACCTGATTCCCGTAAACATCTAAAGTGACTAACGTTTTGTTTGCTTTTAAAGCATCAGCCAAAAATCTGGCTCCTTCATCTGAAATTTCGTTAAATGCAAGATCAAGTGTGGTCAGAGTCTGATTGATCTTCAAAGTTTCGGCTAGAGCCTGAGCACCGTCATTTCCTATCTGATTACCCAAAATATCAAAACATGTTAAAACCTTATTTTTTTTCAATGCATCGGCAAGTAGTTTGGCGCCTTCTGCCGTAATTTGATTTCCTTCAAGCTCCAGATCGGTTAAACGACATGTTGGTTTAACTAAAGCGTTGGCCATTACTTTTGCTCCTTCATCCGTTATTTTCTTTTGATTTAAATCCAGAAATGTTGTATCTGATTTAAGTTTACTCACAGCATGAAAAACCGCATCCATATCAAATTTTTCTTCAAAGGTTTTCCGGGCTGATAGTCGCGATTCTGAACTAGCATCTTGAAACGGAGGTTCTATGAGCACATACGGTGGGTTAACTTCTCTTACGTGCATGATATGAAGTCTATGACCACTATTTACTTTACTAAGCACTTCGAAACATGTGGCCGGCATCAATAAAATTTCATTTTCTGTTTCATATAATGAATGTTCTTTTATCATTTTCCCGTTCATGCATTCAATCGAAAACAGGGTACGAGTGCCAGTTTTACCAGAATATTGTTCGGATTCCAATATATCAAGTGACTCAGTGCATGAACTAAGACCCCACCATACAAATGTGTCGTCTTTTTCAAATTTACCAGTTATATCCATTTTAATTCCACGCCATACGGTTGCTTTAATCGATGGTAGTTTATATAATGCTGTTAGAAATAGTTTTAAATAGGCAAACCATGGTTTTAATTTCTCACGATTTTTATCACGTAGAGTCTGATGTAGTATGTAATACAAGCTTTTTTCACTTGGACTCCATTCTAATGTATATAAACGAATTGATGCTGATTCATCCTGTGTGAGGCCATTGGTTGGATTTTTACAGTTCAGTTTACTAATATAAACTCGCCGTTGTAAATCATCAACAATTTTTGTTAATGGTTCAACAGCTTCTTCCAATTGTAATAATGGCGATTGCTCGTAACCTTCGATCGGTAATAGCATTTTTGTTAGCTCTTGAGCAAGATCGAAATAACGTAATTTTGATTTGGGTTCATTACAAGCTTTTTCGGATGCTATTACTGCAGACATGTTTTGAGATGTTAGTAGAATACAAATTTTCGAAGAGTGTGGTTGTCAACGATAGACATCATGCATTCTTAAACATTTCGTAATACTTCCTGTTCTTCTTTCTGTTTCGCTTGGGTAATGTTTGCATGTAAGATAAGCAGGTATGTGTCATGCGTCCGCTTACCTTATGCGGCAATAATTGCGCAATAAATATTATAGGTCATATGAATACTCCACGTATTGTATTTCGGAAATAATGTATATAAGGTAAAATAACTTTTATCTCGTACATTGTTACTCGATTACATTTTGCTCAATTCGCTTTAAATTAATAATGTCTTTTCTTTGGAACTGGTTAGTTGGCTCATTTCAAGATTTATTAGAATATTGGTACTTGACTAAACTATCAACAGTTTTATTAGTTGGTTTAGATAATGCTGGAAAGGTGAGACATTTTAAAACGTTTTATTTTAATGGAATGGTTTAGCGCGTGCGCCATAAATAACTGCGCTCTTTTCAAGATTTCTCCTTGATGAAATAGTATGCTATGTATACAGGTTCTTAGGTTTTGTGATCTTTTTATCTCTTCTTGATTGTTTGTGTGAGATTCGACTCTAGAGGAACAGCTCTATTTGTTTTTTTTCCCCGTTTGTTTTTCTGCTTGCTGATAAGGTGCCGGAAACTCAAAAGATGAGCACTATTTTCTTTTCTTTTGTAAACCTGTCGATTACCCGTCCAAATGAATAGTGGCCGTGACCATTTTTTGAATTCTTCCGAAACAAAAAGAACAAAGGACTCGCGGTTTTTACCATCCAATAGCCCAGACCTAAATGCATCTTATGCATTATGAGCAGAAATTATTTCTCAAAAATCGTTTGCCTCTGGAAACTCCAGAAAACCATTTCACAAACTCAGAACTTTAACATAGTAGTACATTAGTTTTTCTTCATAGATAGATAGTCCAAAGTCTCTTCTACAAAATGAGAATTAAGCGAACACTTAATTTTTGTGGTGTAGGCATGGCATCCGATTTTCTGGGAAGCCTAGGATCAATATTTCTTTTGGTTTGGTGATTACGAAAAAAATGCAAACATAGGTAATCGCCCACGCTAAATCTCGTGGTAACATTTGCTTTCAAAAACGTTTCAAAAATCTAATGAAAACCTATATCAGGTGAAATTACCCATTTTTCTCTATTTTTTTCTAACAGCTTTAAAAATCAATAGAAAATACTTTCGTTTTTAAAAATGTTTTCTAGAAATCTTCCCCAGTACAAGATTATTACACTTGCGATTTTCAGAGTATTGTCGCTGAGTTTGACACAGCACGATAACTCGTATAGTGTTTTGAAATGCTCCGTTTACTCCGGCACAAGTTCACCAATCAGGTCCAGAAAGGCCAAAAATATCATATGTCTCTCAGAGAAAGATGTACACAAGCCGTGTGTGGGAATATCTTTACTCTGTGAAGCAACTGTAACGTCGTTAATTGCACTGTCATCTAGAAATGTTGGACCATGTTTACGCCCTTTCCTCAATTTTGTATGAACCGCTCTAAAAGCGGATGTCACTTGAACGACTTTCAGAAGGGGTTATACATATTGAATTAGTAAACCGGAGTAAACGGAAAATTTCGAAACAG